TTTTATTAAGCAATATATATGTTTTTTTATTCAAATAATTCTGTACATATTAGAAAATACAAAAATATAAATTTTAAATCAAATTTATATGTCACTATCTGAGATATCAATATTATTGATTTCTTCATTGATTAGCTACGTATTTTTGTCAGACTCAACATATTCCTTGGCATATTTAAGTGCCTTTCTCCAAAACCTAACTATAATTTTTGAATTGATTTTTTTTTTAAATGAATGTAAAAGTGTATTACAAATAGACAAAAGATTTTTATGAGGACCTGAATATGCAATTTTACCCTTTACAACTGCCTAAATACTCTCTATGAGTTGAAGTTCACAGTGATATAGTGGGATATAAGAAATTTGATGATTGCATCATTTTGCTATTTCAATACAAGTGAATAATACTTTCTCTTTATTTTTTTGAACTAAGTCTAAGAGCTCTGGTTTTTTTAATTCGCTAGAAAAAATAATACCATAAGCAGTCAACCAGTTGATCATTTTTTGTTTTTTTGTACTTAATGTTGAAACATTTTCAATTTGCTATTTATGATAGGTTGCTTCATCTATATGAATAATTACTGACCTATACTTTTTATAAAGTGTTTTGCAAAGATTAGAAAAAAGATCTTCAAAAATATCTGCGTTGAAGTTTTCATAGTAATCTACTTAATCAAAAACAATATTTGCACCTTTAACAATATTTGGAATATCATTCTATTCTTCAGAGTTATTTCTTTTTCATCCTCAGTTTCCTGGAAGCTTAATCATTGGGTTTCAAATATGAATAGAATTCAGAACAAGTTTACTATGTAGTTTGTTAGAAGATCCATTTTAGAAAACAATAATTGCTTCAAAAATTACTACCAACAGACTATGCCTAGGAGTTAAAATGACACCTTGATAAGGAAGCTAATTATTGCATGAGACATGATGTAAATGACAGTATGACTCTTCAAGAAAAACCTCAGGTTGATATGGAATATCATTTTTGCCTTCCAAATTAGCAAACTAAAAATGAAAGTAGTAACAACAGAATGTAACATTATTGGGTGATTCATGAAGAATATTTCTTTGTTCACCCTGACCAAAATAATAACCCAAAAGATGCAATAGCCAAAGAAGTTTTTATTTAGAAAATGAATATCTATGTTTAAGAAGAAACTAGCAAAGAATGGGTGTAGAAAGTTGTTTACCTGTTTTATTAGCATCTAAAATTTTTATATATAATAATTCTGATACATTTTGATCAAATTGAAATTTAGATCATCTAAGAGTTCTTTGGAATATAAATATACTATCATTATGTTTGTTCCAGTCTGCTACTATGCCTCCAACTGTTCTTTCAGAAACACCTAATACTTCAGCAACTCTCTTGCATAATGTCAGCTTTCGATGATCATTTTTCGCAGAATTAATCTCAGAAAGGTAATTGTAAACATTAATAACCATTAACTTCTCATTTTCGGTTAGTGGCGCACCATTTCTTTTTAAGGATTGTAAAGGGAAATGATCAACACTGCAGAAAGGTTTGGTTACATTCTACTGACATCATAATTACATTACATTTTTTTTTTCGATAAATCACTAAGGTGCAAATCTTTTTTCACCGGACCATAACTTATTATTAGACTTCTTTTTGTGCTCTTTAGCTATATCATCTTTACTAGCTGTATCAACCTTTGTTAACTGTATATAACTTTACA